TCCCTGTGTATCTGTCAAATAAATAAATAAAATCTTAAATAAAAATAAATAAAAAATATTCCTTATGACTGCTAAAATAGGTTATGTCCTAGAAGATAATTTTTTTTCTTAAAAAAAAAAGTCCAAACAGCAGAACTTTTTATAATTCAATAAACTATGTAATGGCCTTCCAGGACATTTTAAATGAAATTACGGATACTTTTTGTTACAATGACTGAACATTTAATTTAAATAAGGACACTGAAGCACAAATTATAACTAATTCTGATATTATCATGGCCAAGTTAGTGAAGTATAATCTTAGGTTTACAGTGATGTCTTAAAAGTAGATTCAAATTAATTAATGCACTTTGTTCCCAACTAGGAAAAAATAACCTAATATTTTCTTGAACCTGTATCACTTTCCCCATGAATGTTTTTCCCCAAAGAATTTAAGAACCAGACTACATGTCACAAGCCACATTTGGCTAAACACAAGAAAAGCTGTTATCCCATGTTACCAACTGCAGTACCCAAGTTTCAAATTTTCAGGATTTCAACGACCTAGTAAAAGCACCAGAGCCTTAACCTTCCTTACAGGAAATTACCTAAAGCCAAATTTTACTTTTTTTAGAAAACAGAAACAGAAAGGATCTAGCCCAGAATGGATGCATGTGTGCTTGTTATGACTTGAAAATACTGAGTTGACAACTCCCTTGTTAGGAGTTAACTTTGTTTGAGAACAGAATACCAACACTGAGAAACAAAAATACAGAACACTGTGCATTAAAACCACATTCGTGGGGCGCCTGGGTGGCTCAGTCATTAGGCGGCTGCCTTCAGCTCAGGTCATGGTCCCAGGGTCCTGTGATCGAGCCCACATCGGGCTCCCTGCTCGGCGAGAGGCCTGCTTCTCCCTCCCCCACTCCCCCTGCTTGTGTTCCCTCTCTCACTGTCTCTCTCTCTCTGTCAAATAAATAAATAAGATCTTTAAAACAAACAAAAAAACCCAAAAAACCACATTCTTTTATTGCCTAAGAAACTTAGTACAACTAATAAAGAAGCATAAAATTTTATTTTACTCAAAGTAACAACGTATGTACCATCTCTCAGATTTACTCCTCTTCACCTCTGAGGCTAAAGGCAGAGGAAATGACTTGTTATTTGTTGCCAACCTGTATCTAATTAGTCTATCTCCTCTGTTTTTCTTTTTCCAAATACAACAATAAATTTCTACGTTATTCCTCATAACTTCTAGTACAGTATTAATGGATAACCAGAAATGTTAGCTAATGCAAAATTAAGAGGACAATTTTTCCCTGAGGTGATTTCAATTTAATAACTAACTCCAAAGACTCCCAGGAAAGCACTAAGGACTCTTCCTGTTCTCCATTTATTTAGAAGTGAATAGAATAATAAGTCTTTGCAGTCCACCAGTTCAGCCACTGGCTTAACTAAAAACTTAAATAATGGTTTATGTTAAACTGTGCCAGCATGCTTCTTCCCTACACTTCTCTCAGTTCAAGATACTTTTGGCTTCCTTAAATAAAAACAAATCTAACAGATGTTTATCACAAATAGTTAAAATATTTTCAATAACTAATATATAAAGCCACTGGATTTATGCTTTGCATTTACAGAGAGCCACTAAGCAAGTTTATTATTTTTAAGAAACTACAGACTTTATATCCTAATTTGAATGATAGACAACTATTAAAACTCCTTCCAAAAATAGGAGTCAATTCTTTCAGTCACACAAAACAAGTAAGGACAAAATATAAACAGAAACAACTGAGAGTATTATATGAATTAAAGATGTACTTTCAGTAGTGAATACCAGGTTCTAACAATGACAATTTCTAGAATATTACATAAGGAGTACTGTTAAATCAGCTATGCCAAATTTACTTCAAAATCATTACACTGCAATATTATAACACCCGAGTCTAATAATCAAGCCAAATGCCAAACAGACCCCTGAACACTCACTCTGTTGCTTCCTACAGTTGCAAACACTAATGGATCTCCTTCTTTACTGTGCCAGTTAAATTGTACTCCAAACAATGGTTGATTATGATCTTCCTGTAAAATAATCATAAAATAGAACAGTTACTATACTTTAGAGACAAAAGAATGATGAACTGACCATTTCCCCCTCACAACTTTTTTTTCAAAATGTAGGCCACTATTTAAATCAAGATCAGGTAACAAGCACTCATCTAAGAAAACACTCTGATATTTGCCTTCTATTTTCTTAAACCCAATCATATTCTTCTGATCAAAATTAAACTGGATAATTGTTATAGATGCATTTAATCTCTTGGGACATAAGGACATAACTTATGTTTCTCAAACAGGAAATGAACAAATACACCAAGAGTTAATACAGCGCCTCTAACACTAAACTTTATTCAGTTTAATTTCTCCCTTGTAAAGTGAAGCATATCAGACTCCATTCAAATCACCACTTTCTATTATTCCTATAGAAACAATTTCAAATAATCTTGAATTTGGGTCCTTAAAAAAAAAAAAAAATCCCAGTAAGTTTTATAATGAACAAGAATACCTGAGCAGTGGGGACCAGGGAAAGTAAAGGACTGTAACTTCAGTTACTTCAGTTACCAGGACCACTATAAGGAGGTGCATAAAAAACAAGTACACGTGACCCTTGAACAACAGGTTGGAACTGCACAGATCCAATTAAACACGGATTTTTTGGATACAGTACTGTAAACGTATTTTTTTTTTCTTTCTTTAAAAAAAATTTATTTATTTATTTATTTGACAGAGAGCACAAGTAGGGAGAGGGAGAAGCAGGCTCCCTGCTGAGCATACCCTGGGATCACAACCTCAGGCGAGGGCGCATGCTTAACCGCCTGAGCCACCCAGGTGACCCTGCAAATGTATTTTCTTCACGTTTTCTTTGCTCTACCTTACTTTTACTGTAAGAATGCAGTATATAATACATACGACACACAAAACGTGTTAATCTACTTTATGTTACTGGTAAGGTATGGTACTGACTTCTGATCAGCAGAAGGTTATTAGTAGTTAAGTTCTGGGGGAGTCAAAAGTTAAACTTGGATTTTCAGCTGCACAGGAGTAGGGCCGGAAGCACCCTCAAGTTGTTCAAGGGTCAACAGTATTCACTTTTTATTCAAAGTTATTTTTTAGCCTTAAAATTTTACTGGCAATCTCCTGGCACTGAACATTAACTTTCATATTCACTTTTAAAGTGTAACAACTTCCATTTTTTATCCTTTGAAAAGCCATAGCTTTAGGTTTTTGAAATATTTAATTGAATTATTTAAACAGTTAAAACCAATACCTCCCAAATATACTATCTAAAAATAGGTGAACATAACTAAATATTAACACAAAACTATAATGGACACTTTGCCTTTTTTTTTTAATATACTAAGATTAATTCCCCTCCTTTTAAGAGAATATAAATTTGACACACTGAGCAATGTATTTTGCTACAGACAGGAAAATAATTTCCATATAGCCAGAGCTTCTAATGCTTTCTGAATACTTTACCTAAAAGTATATTCAGATACTTAGAAGATTCTAACTTACATATCTGTAAGATAATACAATGTATATTTTTACTCAGTATAAGAAAAATACTCCCAAATTAAAAAAAAAGAAAATGAATAATATGTAAAGGAAAACATTTTAAATAAATATCACTAATCCTTTTCAAAATAAAAATGCTATTGAGGAAGCAGTAATTTAAATAACTCCAAAACCTTGTTTTCCCCAAATACTGAATATTAAGAAAATGTTAATGTACACCTTTTCCTTTGAAAACAATTTCAAGTAACACAAATGATAAGAATTAAATATTTATAAGCTGCACAAAGACATCGGTTTCAATTTATGCTGACTGAAAGTTAATGGGTCACATTCAGTTCTTTTTATTAAGAGGTATCGGGAAGTGGCTTTGTTTTTAAAGTTTTATCAAAATATGAAGAATAACATATCCCAAATCTTTTTTTCTGAATACAAGGAAGAAAACCCAGTATGTACTAGTAGGTATTACCCATTTAAATTAAAACAAAATAATAAAATCTAAAACAAATGGAGTGTAGTAACTATGCAGTCTATGCTACAAAACAAAACAACCTTCAAAGTACTCTAATTTTAAAATATTTTAAACTTGACAAAGTATCTGAGCAAAAAATGTTTACCACTGAGAACTAATTCTGAAGCCTGGCATTCAGCCCATAGGATCTGTCTTTCTGCACATACCTTGAGACTATTTACACACTTGAAAGAATATTTGCATTTCTTTGACTTCCATTTTCCCTTCCCCCAACTTTTCCTTCCAGGAGCATTTGGTGTATTTGTAGGTGTATCAGGGCGTTCAGTGTTTGTACCACTTTCTATACTGACAGCATCATCCTGTAAGTAGTAAATTAGGAAAAATTACATGAAACAACAATACTGTATGTAGCAGCAAATGACTTTGTGCTGGGTAGCTGCTGATTGACCTTAAAGTAGTAATTAATAAATTCTGCAAGAAATGGAAAAATATATTCCTGTCTCCAAATAAGGATAAAAAGCAAACCAACTACACATTAGGATTTATAGATTTTTGATATTTCAGCACTAATATAATCAGAAAAGCTAATCAGAATAATAGTAAGAATAATACTGCCTTTAATAACAAAGCACTGGCCTATGCCAGCCGCCTTAATACACTGGCGTATTTCATCCTTACAGCTCCTCACAGAAGGTGCTGTTAGATAAGGAAGTGTTGTTTAGAGAGCTTAAGTGGTCTCTTGCTACTTATGGTTGCTGGGATTAAAACCAAAGCTGTGACTCCTAAATCTGACTGAACTACATGTCTTCATAATTCACTTGACTGCTGCTCAATCTGGAGTACAGCGGTTAATGGGCCTCTGAGGATGACGGAATGTTGGTGCCTCTTTAGATGTAGTTTCTGAAAATCCTGTTATTCAAATTCCACTTAATTAGAACACAAACCATTTAGAATTTTTAAAAAAATCCTACATATTCTGTGCTATTTACAAATGACATTTGCCTCACAGCTCTTATGTAATAATGATACTCATAGAGAATTCCAGAAACTCTCTATAAATTAAAGTAAAATCCTTCCAAATGTAGAAATGACGGCAGGAAACTATGAAAATTCACTTAGTTTATACGCTATCTCCAGTCCACAAGATACATTCATGGCCCTCTAATCTAAGATTTAACTACCTCCTTTGATTACATATTCCAGTGCTTCTTTGGAATAAAGAGATTTATTTAAACCTATCGCCTTAGGGCAATAGTTCCTAAATTCATTCCAGAGGAAGCCTTTTTCATGGAATGCCTGTTAATATCTATTAGAACAAGTCTAGGAAACACCACCTTAGGGCCTATTTCTAAATGATTGCTTCCTAGTTTTATATTTACAGAAGATTAAAAGTTAACTGGAGTGTCAAAAAGCATATAAAAAATTCATATAAATTCACCTAAAAACAGTATGGTATTATATAGCTGTTGTTGGAGGGTGGTTTTCAAAGTTTCAAATGGTTCCTACCTTTTAAAAAAAAATACACTAATTATTCTTGAATGTATCGATTAGGATGAAAAAACTGGATAGATAATACACAGTAGGTGTTCAATATCTGAACTGTAACTTAATGTAATGTGAAATTCTAAAAGTTCAGTTCCTGGGCTGAAATCATGGTTTATATCTCTATTTCTCCCCCTCTTCATTCACAGTCTCACACAGTTAACATCTAGTGTAGAAAATAACTATGTTTCAGTGAAAAACTACGCATTATCTATAGCACACCTTCCCACATAACCAGATTCCAGCCCTCTTCATTGCCTTTGAACAACCTTACAACTCAGTTTATACTGTGAATGACTGATAGTTGTGTAAATTCTGTCTCCAAAGGTAGAAGCTCAAAATGTCTTCCCTCCCACTCTGGAAAAAACTTTGTGGTCTCCATTTGCAATTTCACCTCTACATTCCTTTAGCGTATAAATTTATATTGTTTGACTCACACTTGCCCCGTTCCCTCATTGAGTGTAAAGTAAACACTTAACATGTTTCACTTACCTTTTTCTGAAAACTGTCCTTTAACACTAGAGAAGTAAAATAATAAAACTGTTATTTATTCACCAGCTTCTTTACATTCTGGCCCAAAATTCAACTGCTAATCAAGAAAACACACAAAACACTGTTTTGTTTTTTAACTCTGACCACTTAACTTACCCATCTCCTCCAAAGGAAAATCACCAAAGAATCAAAAGGAAATGCAACAGTCACAATGCTTTAATTTTATCTCTAAATTAAAATCAAACCTTTGCTGAGTATCTGTGTATAGGCTGACTTCCACCTTGGCCCCTTCTCAAGGTATACAATGATGATATCCCACTACCATCTTCATTTGCCCAACAAGGAAACAGGGAGACTAATTTGTCCCTTAATTTTGCCATAGGTTACTTAAGCAAAGTATGTCTTCAGCCCTCTACTAGGCAACCATTAATACTCTTCAAGAAGCTAAATATCCTGCAAATCATTAGACCTTTAAAAATTCAATAAAATGGCATATACATATACAAAGAACTTAACATATGTCCTTTCAATTTTTTGATTCACATTCACAGTAGTAATTGCTTAGATTACCTTAACTCCCAACTCAAACACCACATTCTTTCCTCACTTGCTTTTGGCCTTCTCATCACTACTCAGTTCCCTCAAGAGTATGACCACTGCCCGTTACCTTTCTCTGAACCCATTCTTCTAGAGTTCTCTACTGTCTTTCCTCACTGCTTCCCTCTAACCTATGTCCTAGATCTGGGGTCCTTGGGTGGAATTCAGAGGGCCTGTGAACTTAAATGGCCAAACAAACCCACTTAATTTTCACCATCTTTAAATGAAATTTAGCACTTCCATTAAATGAAGGTAACATACGTGAGAATATTACTGTAGCTGTGACTTTCTCATCAGGGAAATCAAGTATTTTCATATCATATTCTAGTAGTTGCAGATCTCAAAAAAAACTGTCTTATGCCCATCATTACTACCAGACCCCCTGCTAGATCTAGTTACTTAATGTGCTAATACAGAAGCACTTGGGGCATCTGGCTGGCTCAGTCCAAGGAGCATGGAACTCTCTATCTCCAGGTTGTGAGTTGGAGCCCCATGCTGGGTGTACAAATTAGCCACTTAAACACTTTATATTAAAGCACTTTATTAAAACAAATCTTAAATTTGTTCTAAAAAGCATTTTTATAACATATTTCATAATTTTATTATTTTGTTTGTAACCTTATATACTGTATTTTATACGTTTTAAAACATTCTGAGAAGGCTACCTGAGATTCACTGAGGTGTCCAAGGAACTAAAATGTTTAAAGTCCCTATACAAATGAGTAAACTCAAATAAAGGCATAATCCACTGTTTGGTTCTGAACTGCTTTAGAATGCAAAGAATATATCCTCTTAAGGGTCTACCGAAAAGGCTTTCAATTTATTTGGTCCCCTGAAATTTTCCTCAGTCTAAAGAGATTATTGATATTTTCATTACATTTCTGCTTGATTATTTAGTATGTGCTAGGGCCAGAAGCAAAAGTCTTCACAGTAATTAACACCTGTATAGTACTTCTGGGGCAGAGACCCTTTTAAGAACTTTATCTGTATTATCTCATATAGTCCTCACAAATACTCTTTGAGATAAAAACCATTATTCCCATTTCTAAGAAATTAAGGAAACTAGATCAAGTACCTTGCTCAAGTAAGTAAAAGATTAGGAATTTTAACCTAACATGTGGATCCAATCTGTACTCCTAATCGCTAACCTAATCTGCCCAGAAAAAATTTTTCAAAAAGCGGAAATAAAACAGGCTCCAAGGACTGAAATGAAGTGGGTCAAAACTGTTATTAGAGGGACGCCTTGGTGGCTCAGTTGGTTAAGCGACTGCCTTCGGCTCGGGTCATGATCCCAGAGTCCTGGGATCGAGTCCCGCATCGGGCTCCCTGCTCAGCGGGGAGTCTGCTTCTCCCTCTGCCTGCCGCTCCCCCTGCTTGTGCTCTCTCTGACAAATAAATATTTTAGAAAAAAAAATGTTATTAGAAAGCAATATATGAGATTGAGAAGCACAAACCGGAAAAAGATTAAAGTAACATTCAACACCTAAACTTTCCAGAAACTTCCAAGTCCAAATCCCACAAACTGATAATTCCCCAAATATCTTTCTTCTATCCACAAAAATCCTTCCCCATCTCTTCAATGAAAATTTTGGTCATGACACCATGCTATATATATGCTTGTTAGTGAAGTAATGATGTAGAATTTAGAAACTGGGTGAAGATGGCATTTACTCCTAAAACTAGCCAAACTGAGAAAATGAACAACTTACATCACCCTCCTACAACACTTTATAAAGATTTAAAAAAAATATATTCAGATATCCTAGGAGGTTCACATTTGGGTAACTTTGAATGAATTGTCAAGACACTGCTTAACCTTATTCGATGTAAACTTAAAACTGAAAATTAATGTCACTTCAGTTATTACTGGCGACTTACCTAAACACTAGATGATTACCGAGATCCATTTCGGAGTTTTTTTTTTTTAATCTGATTCCAAAATACCTTACATTTGCGAAGCCACGAGTCCACACCTAAAGACATCTGTCTTTACCACTGTTGCCTAAAATCTTCCAGGTCATCCCCTTTGAGTAAAAACTTTATAAATAATTACCGACTCTTCTTATTACATCAAAGGTGGTTTCCCCCTCCGATTCATAAGACGACCCTCTTCAATTCTCCTCCGGAAGAAAAGCCGACTGTCAGGCACAACCCATCTCCACCCACAGGACAGGAGCAGACATAAAATCCCACCTTTAGAAGAGTCACCAAACCCCTTAAGTCGAAGATCTAACTACTCTTCCCATCCTGGACGGTCTGTAAGGGTCGAAAAGTGACACAATCCCTAAATTCCTTAAGAGTCGCTAACTCACGCGTGCTCCTCCTCCCAACTTTCTCAAAAAAACCTCTAACTTGCCTTTTAAACTACTGGAATCTCATATCCGCACTCTCCCAAAATCTCCCAAAGGCCCAAACACTCCCCAACCACGCAAAAGGATCTCAGAGCAGACCCCTTCAGACCCTCCGCCCACCACGCTCTCTCTTAAACCACTCTCCTTCGCCAAGTTTCTGCTTGCTCTCGGCCCCTGCTCAAAATCCCCATAGAGACAAGTTCGATTTTCTCTTCCACGCCCGCGTTTTCCTGAGGGTGACACCTCTCCCTCCCCCCACAGCAGCCCGTCCACCCCCACGCCGAGTTTAAAAAGAATTTAAAACTTTCATTCCAGAGTCCCGTCCGCACTGCTCTGGGCTGCACTCACATTTTCGTCTCCAGAGAGGTCTGGGTTGCTGTTCTCGTCGCTGCTTAGCTTCTGCTTCTTGGCCGCAGGCATGTCTGTTCCCGCCGGCGCTGTCGACACTTCCCTCTCGGACATATTCCTCCGCCTCCCTCCAGGTTCCTGCCGCCTAGGGCGGGGCCTCCGCCACACCGCCGTCAAGCAAGCCCGGCCGGAGCCTGCCGCAAAGCTGCCGCTGCCGCCGCCACCTCCACCGCTCCCCCCACTGTCGCAAACCGCGCCCAGCCGCCGAGGCGGGCGTGCGTGCGACCCCGCCACACTGCTGAAAAAGGGGCGCGCGTGCGCGCCCTCCCGCGCAGCTTCCTGGCTCTTTCCTTTTCCTTGCGCCCGTCTTGCCCTTTTCCCGCCGCCCTCCCGGCAGTTTGCACGGAGAGGTGAGATCCGTTAGCTATCAAGAGCAGTATTTCGTACGTCCCCTTCCCCCACTGCCGTCTCGATAAAAAGGCGGAACTCAAAGGGATGTCCCCTCACCCCCTTCCTCCTTCCAAAGACGTTTCAGCCGCAATCGGCCCAATCCTTCGATCCCCGACCCGCTGCAGGACTCGAAAGTCTGTGGGATGGACTAGACCACCGATGTTCCAGGGGATGGGGGAAGATACGAGAAGTCACCTCTTGCTTTAGCGGCGTATGCCAAGTGTCCTTAATCTTGAACTCGGAGGCCAACACACTCACATTAATCATGGAACTGTTGAAGACCTAGTGTTTCGTTGTGAACAGGAGTTCGAAAACCGTACGGTGCCTCTCACTGGCCTCCCCCATCTAGGATATGGAAGTTACCAGCTAAAACGTGCGCATGCGCTGGGGCGTATTCTCGCGCTGGGTTGTACAGACCCGCCTCCCCGGGCCCCTCCTCCTTCAAATCTTGTTTGCTGAACCAGGTAGTCTTCCACCGGTTTCCGTAGCTGGGAATCGATTTCAAAGCACGACCAAGTCATAGTGTCTGGACGCGTTTTAAATTCGTGATGAATATTTAATCTGATGAATATTTATTTCAATCAATGATTATTCTCACCCAATTGTGCCAATATTGAGTATCATTTAACTTAGGAATATCCTGCAGTTATTCTAGACTCCCAATGAGTTGCGGCCTAAAGTGCCTTTTTTTTTTTTTTAAAGATTTTATTTATTTATTTGACAGAAGGTGAGAGGGAACGCAAGCAGGGAGAGTGGGAGAGGGAGAAGCAGGCTTCCCGTGGAGCAGAGAACCCGATGCGGGTTCGATCCCAGGACCGTGGAATCATGACCTGAGCCGAAGGCTTAGCGACTGAGGCATCCAGGCGCCCCTAAAGTGCTCTTTGTAACTTAAAAAATTGTCAAGGCCTTGAACAATGCCAAGGCCTAAAAATCAGTGGTTATCTCCAACTATGTATAAGACTGAGACTTAAAACAAGGGACAGAATTTGGGGACATACCAGATACAATAAAATTTTAGGGAAGGGCAACAAAACTGTTACACTTCACCAAAATGTTTGTTTCTGTTAAGTGTTAAATATATCTGTGGGCTTGACAGGTGTCCAGTAATAGTCGCAAACCTTGTGGATTTGTTAGATGGTTCATTGAGTCACGTAATCAAATAAGCAGCAGGAAAAGGAGAACCATGACAAGAAATAACAGCCAGACCCTCACCCCCTTTTTGGTAGATCTTAGTTGTGACTACTTATCTTCCTAGGCTTCATTGTCCTCATCTGTGAAAATGAGGAAATTGGAAGGGACCTGACATTTCTTGAGCACCTACTTGATAATATAAATTTTTTCTGTTAGACCTCATCACCCAATGGATTACCTGTATGGAGTGTCCCATCCATAAAATTCTTGTGTACTTGAGTTACTTCTGCATGATGCCTTAAGAGGGAGAATATCCGTTTCATTATCTGCAGATTGCGAGTCACTTTTCCTTTGGAAACCAGGAGAGAACTCAGTTGAGGATGAAAAAAAGGAAGGTAAATCAAAGGTAGGGCAAAATAAGAGGTCTTTGCAGTGCAGACTCAGGAAAAATAAGGAAGCTTAAAAAAATTAAAGTTCAGGTCTTAATAATTGCAGTTATTTATTGAACTCTTCTAATGTGCCAGGCATTCCTCAGTTGGTGAGAAAGAGATGAGACTGGTATGGAGTCAGCCACTGAGAAATTAAGATGTGCTTAGTACGGTATATTCATGCGCAGAGACAAACTACCCCTGTCTGTTGAGAAGATTGTGAAATTTTGCTCTACAATGAAAGGATAGTCAACTAGAACATTTCCAACCCGAATTACTCTGTGTGTCTGGGATCAGTGGGAGCTAGAAAGTGGGAGTCAAATTCTGGTCATAAAATTAGGAAAGTTGTTGAACATTTGAATAGAGGACACACACAGAAGGAAAATGCCTCCAAGCATGCATGTTGTCTGTAACAAAGCAAAAATGTTTTTAAAGAGTTTTATTAAAACTTGGAGGCATATTTAAAAATTTTTTTTCTAATGAGACAGGGATAATAATGGAAATTAGTTAATGCTCATTATTACCAATGTTAAAAAATTATTCTGACACTTGTTAAAATAGTAAGGAGCTTTATTTAGGACTATTGTAATAGATATCAAGACTATTGCCAAAAAAAACCCAAAAAACAAAAAAACACTATTGCCAATAGGAAAGAGATAGGGCTCAACTCTGAAATGCAGCAAGGACAAGTGGGGATTTATAATCAAGGAGCAGAGTTGAGGATGGAGGAGTTTAAGACATACCACCCACAATATGCTTCTTTGGTATATTGGTTATTTTGAGGTGAAGTCACTTGAACAAAAGGCTTTCTCTAAACTCCTCTTATCTGCCTAAAGACAGATCCTCCAAAAGGAGCTCAACTGTCATAAATCCCCTCCCCAGGAGTCTCGTCAACCAGAGAAGATTGACTATTAACCACAAAAGAGGAGACTAGAAGTCACACCACACCCAGAGAGACTTTGTCACAAACAGATTTCCCATCTATTTTAAGGGCCCATTCATCTTTCAAAAAAATCATTTAGGGGGGGCACCTGGGTGGCTCAGTCGTTAAGCGTCTGCCTTCGGCTCAGGTCATGATCCCAGGGTCCTGGGATCGAGCCCCGCATCAGGCTCCCTGCTCAGCGGGAAGCCTGCTTCTCCCTCTCCCACTCCCTCTGCTTGTGTTCCCTCTCTCGCTGTGTCTCTCTCTGTCAAATAAATAAATAAAATCTTAAAAAAAAAAAAATCATTTACTCTCCCCTGTGTGACATACATCCTCCAACCCCTTCCCCTATTGAGATGGTATAAGCTCAAATCTCAGTGCTTTTTTGGGTATTCACTTTTGTTCCCTGTGGTGACCCTGTGCATGTTGTATTAAAAACTAATAAATTTGTATACCTTTTCTCCTTTTTTTTTTTAAGATTTTATTTATTTATTTGAGACAGAGAGAATGAGAGACAGAGAGCATGAGAGGGAGGAGGGTCAGAGGGAGAAGCAGACTCCCTGCCGAGCAGGGAGCCCGATGCGGGACTCGATCCCGGGACTCCAGGATCATGACCTGAGCCGAAGGCAGTCGCTTAACCAACTGAGCCACCCAGGCGCCCCCTTTTCTCCTACTTTTGATACACTCAGCTATCCAACCTAGGAGGGTAGAGGGAAAGGCTTTCCTCCCCTGTGGGGAGGTAGGGGATGGATGAAAACTTAGTAAAACTAAACATTCAGGGTAGGAGGATTCTTTATAAACTGACTTGCCTCGGTAATCAGATATCCAGGGTGGGGAATAAGAATTTGATCAGCTATCAAGGGTGGGGATTCTCTTTAGGATTCTTTCTACAACTGGACTAGGGAGACCAAAGACGGGACAGAAGGACAAGGCCTACTTGAGAGGAGGGCTCAAAGGAGCCTGACTACAGTTTGGTCAAGAGGAGAGTCTTTGTCACTAATCTAACATATGTAAAATATCATGTGTCTTATTTGGAGTGCTATCGTCATGGTATTAATTTCATAAATACAAAAGACTAGTTAACTAAAAATCATAAGTTTCTCAACACTGAATTACTGTGAGGGATTTCAGGAACCATTACAGTTGGAGAAGTCTTACCACCCACATTTTTACAAATGTGGAAATTATGACTTAGCGTAATTAAACAATTTGCCCAAAGACACACAGCTCTTCAAAGTGGCAAAGCTGGGGATCATATTCAGATCTGATTGGTTGGAAAGCCAAAGCGCTTTTGCCTCAGGATGAAAAACCTAGGCAGCTCTAGATTTATGTAATTCTATTCACAGATCTTGGTCTTCAGACCACATAATCTTTTATACACTATTGATGAAGGATAGTTGGAAGGCAGGCAGGCGGGGACAATCCCCCATCTTACCCCCCCAGCCCTAAGAGGAAACCACCCTTAAAAGGATTTTACACCACCCTGGAAGGAGCCCTCCACCCTTTCCCATATGATAGATAGGCGAGAAAAACCTGATTGGATGATAGGCACAGGGAGGGTTAATCAGATTAAAACAGCCTGCCAACAAGCCCATAAAAACCCCAAGGACTTAGAAATGCCAGCAGCAACCCTCTTGGCTCCCTTCCCCCTCCTGGAGCTTTGTATTATCACTTTGCTATGGCTCAATAAACCTTGCTTTGCTGCCCACCACTCTGTTTGGTCTACCTCTTTCTTCGAAGCTGGTAACCAAGAATCATGGGCACCTATGGAGAAAAAATCCTGTAATACTATCAAAGAACATTAAAAAGGTACCTAACTTGGGACAGAAAGAAAACAACTAGAGAAACAAGGGAATCCAAATGAAGCCTGGAGTTCAGTTAATAGTTATGGGCATATTTTAGTTTTTTAATTTTTGACAAATGTGCCATGGTAATAAAAAATTTTAACAATGAGGGAAGCTGAGTGAGGGGCATACAGGAAGTCTCTATACTATCTTTGCAACTTTCTGTAAAATGATCCCCCACATGCCAAAAATCCTATTTTTTTTCAAATTTTTATTTAAATTCTAATTAGTTAACATATAGGGTAATACTGGTTTCTGGAGCAGAATTTAGTGATTCATCACTTAAAAATAATACCCAGTGCTCATCACAAATGCCTCCTTAATGCCCATCACCTGTTTACTCATCCCCCACCCAATTCCCTCCATCAACCCTCAGTCTGTTTTCTATCATTAAGAGTCTCTTATGGTTTGCTTCCCTCTCTTTTTTCAAAAACACTATTTAAAAAAAAACAACTATCTCATTAGACTATGGAAGACACTAGGTAGAAATAGCCCTTAGCCTTCAAATAAAGGGTTCATTTATTTTGAAAAACTTTCAAAGATCATTTATTTATAAAGAAAAGAAACTTCACAGCCTCCCTTCATATTGTCTTCTAGTATCATGTAAGCTTCAAATCAGGAAATGAGTTTCAAAAGCTAAATTAAATCCTTCCCATTTCAGTTGAAGTCTATTTCTCATTCATTCAACATTTTTTTTGTCTCTTCTGCTTCATAAATAGCAGCTGTTCATCATCACTCAGGCACTGTGTAATCATATGCTTGCAGATCCAGTTTTCTATGAACAGAACATCATATGGCTTCTTTGAACACTTTAAAATCAATCAGGAGGAATTTACTGAATGCCATTTCTGTGCAAAGCATTATGCTAATTGCGTGGGGGTGTGGGGATTAAAAAGGGAAAAATAGGACACAGTCCCTGCCTTCAAAAAGCCTAATATTCTTCTAGCATTAAAAAATGTCTCATGTAGACTTTGTGCCTGCCTTTTCAGACTAGCTCTTCCCAAGAAGGTGCTGGTGCTGGAGTATAACCATCATAGTCATGGATTCGTGTTAGCCCTGCCATTCTAATCCTTGGGAGCTTGCCTGACTCAGTGTAATCCTGTCCCCAACCTGCTTCTTCTAAAGCTCTCCAGCTGAGGGAGGGGACCCCTCTTCTCTCTTGGGGGTGTTAACAGCCTCAGCA